CGCCCGCCGGCCCCGAGGAGCGCAGGCCGTTCGAGAAGGTGGTGAACCGGGAGTCGCTGGTCATCTCGGGCCTGCGCCACTTCACGGGGTACCGCATCGAGCTGCAGGCCTGCAACCAGGAGGCCCCCGAGGAGCGCTGCAGCGTGGCCGCCTACGTCAGCGCCAGGACCATGCCCGAAGGTGGGTGGGTGTGGGCGCGGCGGTGGGGCCCGGGCCTGGCCTGGCCTGTTTCCGGCACCTTTCTTTCTTCCTGAGCCCCGAGGGACACAGCGCACGTGTGACATCGGGGAATCGAAGGTGTGCGGGTTTGACGCGAGTTATACGTTGTAGATGAGCACCCCCCTCCCCGTTAATTTTTGTGGAAGGACGTCTTAGAGCCAGTGTCTCAGCAAGTCAGGCTTCTGCCTCTAACCGCGGCTCCTTACAGCCAAGGCAGACGACATCGTCGGCCCGGTGACCCACGAGGTCTTCGAGAACAACGTCGTTCACCTGATGTGGCAAGAGCCGAAGGAGCCCAACGGGCTGATCGTGCTGTACGAAGTGAGTTACCGGCGGCACGGCGACGAGGTAAGGCCCTGGCCGGCCCTGCGCCTTGGGTTGGCCGCTGCCGCTCTCCCTCGTACCCCGCCCGAATGCCTGCCCTGGTAGATGCTGCGTGGCCAGGACGCGCGGCTGCCGCTATCCGTGGGGAGCCGGGTCGGAAATGGCCAGCTCGAAACGTGCTTCTCCTGTTACTTTAGAGCTGTCCCGCAGGTTGGGTGGTGGCCGCCCGCGTTTGCGTCCCCCGACGTGACGGGGGACTCAGCTCACCGGAGGGAGCGGTCTGAGTCTGAAACAGGTCACTTGCAGCCTTCGTAATGTGACTAGGAAAGGGATGTTCACATTTGGGGAGCTGTGTGAATCCGCTCAGTCGTACTCCCAGGACTCAAACCTGGCTGACGGGCTCAGGTGTTTACCCTCTACCTGGCAGGTGACCACAGAGGTCAGAGATCATTTTCTGTAAAGGACTAGAGAGGTCATGTTCATGTTTTCGGCCTCAGAGCCAGTCTCCGGGCAGCTGCTCACCCTGCCGGTACAGCCCCGGAGCAGCCACGGCCAGATGGGGATGAGCGAGAGCGGCCGTGTGCCAGTGGAGCTTTACTTACGCAGACAGGCAGTGGGCCAGGCTTGGCCCGTAGCCACAGTTTGCCCCCTGGAACTTGAGGGGATAGTCTTCCCGTGACCAGGCACAGAGGGGCAGGCGGGCCCCCTTCTGTTGACGCCTCCTGGGACCACAGCAGCTTTTGGCGCGCAGATGCTTAGCTTTGAGATGATGTGGCAGAGGGCTCGGCGGGCTGACTCGCGGGCCCCACCGGCCTGCAGCTTTCATGCAGCTGCAGCGAGCGGCCGAGAGGGGCAAGAACCCACAGCCAGTTTTAGAAAGATAAATGCCCGTGCTGAAATTGTTATTGTTGACCAGTCTGGGGAGCCAGTTGCCAGGTGAAGGACTTAATTTGCCTTTTGCTTTGCATCCATTTGAAAAATAAGGCCCCTGTCATAGGAGTCCGGCTAGCTTTGTGTTTCTGTGCCTCGGCAAGTGCCCTCCTCTGTCCTGGGCTTTCTCTGACCTGGCCGTGCTTCTGCCCACACGGCCTTCGGGGTCATCACTTATCCGTCTCCAAAGGAGTTCATCTGCGGCCGCATCCCCATTAGCTCCCTGGTGTCTCTGCTTCCAGATACCTGGGTGCCTCTGACTTTCACTGTGCGAGGTACCGCCAGTTTCGTTTGGAAAGCCGTTTCGCTCTTTGCAGTAAGAGCTGGAGATAGGATCTCTGTCGGCTTTCGCTGTGCAACAAAGTGCCCCCGAGCGTTCTGCTGGACAACAGCCTTTCATGACTTCTGCTGATTCTGAGGGTCCCCTGGCTGGTTCTTCTGCCCCAGGCCAGTTGCAGGGCGAGTGGAGAGCCTCGCCGCCCACCCCCGGCCTCTCTGTGCGCGCTCTGGTCACTCAGCTGGCTCGCCCAGGCCCGAAGGGGACATGCGGGTGCTTTCCACCTGGCTTCTGGCTAGTGCTGCTCTGAGCACTCGCGTACAGGGTTTTGTGCTGTGTATGTCCCCAGGTCTCGGGGCGCAGAGCTAGGAGCCCACGCCTGGGTCAGATGGTGACCCTGCACCCTTCACGCTCCCTCCCCATCGCGGCCAGGACGTGCTCTGGTCCAGCCTGTGGTGGTGGCCCCATGTGTGGCCTCCCCCTGCGTTTCTGTGGCGACTCACTTGGCCTGGTCTGCGCCTTTCTGTCCTGACCCCTCGGACCTCAGGCAGTCGGGTCGGCCCCGGGAGGGAGGCGGTCCGCAGAGCCACGCACGGGGGCTCCAGCTTCCAGAGAAAGCGCAGCATGTCACTGGCAGCAGAGCGGACCGTGGTGACGACTGTCCACTGCTGCCTGCGTGACCTTGCTCCTGCGGCAGCGTGACCAGCTGGTTCCCTTTCGCTTGGAATTTCCCAGGCTCGGGCACACGTCCCTGGTTTCGGGCAGCTGATGGCTCAGGCAGCCGTGCTGCCTTCACGGCCTGGCGCTCCTGTGCGGGCATCAGGTCTGCAGCGGCACCGCCCGTCCCGACAGCCCCTGCCCGGCACAGCCCCGCTGACTCTGCAGGGAAACGTGGAGCGAGGGACAAGCTACAGCCCACTTCAGAAAACCCTTAGTGTGGACAAGATCGGTCCGACATGATGCAGCGTTTTCCTTAACCCTCCTCGTGGCTTTGATCACGTCAACAGCCGCGCTAGACTTTCCTTTTAACGGCACTTGCCAGTTTGGGGAGTTCGGAGCCTCCCTTTCCTTGACGCTTGCCGACAGCCTTGTCCTCACCCCCACACCGGCCCGGCTGCCCGGGGGTGCGTTGCTGGCCGAGAGCTCGGCCCGCGCCCCTCCTCCCGTGCGGCTTGGCCCTTCCTCCTGTCGCACAAGCCTCTGCGTACCTGGCCGGCCCCAGGCGGTCGGGCGCTTGTTTGTGTGGTGGTGTCTAAGCAGAGCGCTGTATCGGTTTCTGCCCTTCCTGGTGCCGCCCCCGGGTGCCCGGCCAGGTCATCGGAGGGTGCGCTCCCCTGGTCCCGGGGAGCAGCCAGCTCTGGCTTCTACATGGGCTCATTGGCGCCTCTTGCCCGGTGACTCGCCCTCCGGGAAGAACCTTTGGACCCGGCCCGCCTGCCGGCGCCGGGGGCTTCTCCCGCGGTGCGGCCACGCGCTGAGCGTGGCAGTGTTTGCGTGTCTTTCTCCCAGTCCCCCTGAAATCTTCCAGGCGGCTCTCGGCGTGCACAGAGAGCTGGGGCTGTTCCGGCCGAGGCTGCGGGCCCGGCGGCTTCTTTCCCGCGGAGCCTCCTGCTCGCCCCATCTGTGCGGGGCGCCAGGGTGTCGCCCGCGTACCGCTCTCATCTCACCCCTTCTTAGCAGCGCTCAGCGCTTGTTTTTTTTTTTTTGTATTTTTAAGATGTATGTATTCCTGCGCACAGAACTGGGGTCAGGCCAGAGGGCCAGGGGTGGTGGAGGATGCCCCGAGACAGAGCGGGGAGCAGGACGGCGGCTGACCGAGTGCACTGCTGAGGGGCTGCGGGCGGGTGTGTTCCGCTGCGCCCTGGGGGTCACTCCCCGGCGGGGATCGAACTCCGGCTCGGCCAGCTGGCAGTGCTGCGCCCTAACCCGACCCAGCTCCGTGAAGGGTGCGAGAAGCAGAGCAAAAGCAGGCCCCGGGGAGGAGGCGGCTGACTGCCCTGCACGGAGCAGCCGTGTGTTCGCCCGGGGCGCAGGGGCCAGCCGGAGATGCCGCTTGGGGGCGTCCTCTGTCCCACCCTTCCTGCCCTCCCCGGCGGCCTGGAGAGCCTGTCGCGGGCGGGCTGGAGAGGAGCTGGAGCGGGCTGGCCGAGGCCGACCGTCCCCTCCCACCAGCCATTTCAGCTCCTTGCCACCCTGCCGCACGGGCTGGCTTCGTGTGTCCCGGGGAACAGTACCCCGTGCTGTGGAAATCGGAGGCCGCTCAGCGCCCTGCTGAGCCCGGGCCGGCTGTGGCGGTCACTGAGCTGTAGGAGCCGGATGGCCTCGGCCCTCCGTCCCGCCCTGCCCCCGCCCTGCGCCTCCTCGAGGGTGTCAGGGCAAGAGGAAAGGCTCAGGCCACTGCGTGGCCT